ATCTAAAATTGCGAAGGAAAAGTGGGCCGCTGTTAAAAAAAATCAACATGAATACGAGTTCTGGCGAAGATTAACAGAAATAGCAAATTTGAAGCACAAATTACTATATTGAACCGTTACAGAAACATGAAACAAACAAAGCGCAAGCTTTATTAGATAATTGAAACATGAAACAAACAAAGTACAAAATTTATTAGATAATAACGACTTCCAAAATAATTTAACAACCTTATCTATCGAATCCTATTATTTTACATCCTTAAGTTTATACCATTTTTATTATCTGATTATTGGCAAAATATTGCTACTTCAATTTACAATCCTTACATAAATTATCTTCATTACAACTCTCAAGATTTCTTAATTAATTCTCAGGATTACTCAATTAATTCTGTAGTTAATGAAATCAACCCATTTTGTACTAATTTTAGTAATTTAAGTAGTGAGAAATTTTAACATTAAAGGTAAGTAATTCTAAATAATTTTTTTTTGCTTTTTTTGTTTAGTTTTTTTTGTTAGGTAATATAGAAGGAATAAATACATTCTGTAAAAAGAATTATGCTAAAAGGATTATTATCAAATAAGTAACAGACATGGCAATACTTATCGTTATAGACTAAAAATTCGTGAAACTGCTTTAAGTTAGTAGTTTATTTAAATCTAATTAGCGATCGATAGGACAAATAATTAACTACAGTGTTAGAGTAAACTATTAGTTTATTATATTAATCGTAAATTACTTAAGGAATTATCGAACCTTCTTTATATAATAATTCATCATATAACTCACGATATGAGGCAGAACTTTTTCTTTCTATAGTACATGAAGGTGAGGTATTATTGTATTCATATCGTATAGCTCACAAATGAGAGGAAGGTTGTATTCATATCGAATAGCTCACAAATAGATGTAGTCTATTTACTTAAAGTTCACAGATGTTAGGCATATTGTATCATATTTATAGCTAACAAAATATAAGAAATTTGTATTCAAATCAATAGCTCACAAATGTGTGTCAGCTATTCATAAATGTGAAGCATATTTGCTATAATGATAAAGACGAAAATTGTTGCATATAGACCTGCCAAATTTTTTTATTCTAATTCAGCCCAAATTCATATTTTTACTTTAATTTAGCCCAAATTTATACTCTAAATTTGCCCAAATTTTTTATTCGCAAATTTATGCTCTGTTTAGCCAAATTCATACTCTATTTCTCTATATAAAAACTTCACAATTCAACATACACAATAATAAACTAGATGTTGAATATTCTGGTTAAATATTATGGCTTATATGATAAGCCAAATATAAAAAGGGGCTCTAAACTCAAAAATTTAATCATTGCTATAATTGAAAGATGTTAAATATATTAGGTTCATTTTGCGGTATTATTTAAAATTTAATTATCAATAATACAATTCATAAATTTCGCATTGCATAGAAAAATTAAACTTGGAAATAATTTATTAATTCTTATTTTGATATTGATATTAAAAATATCTAATGAATGGATATTTAATTTATTAATATTTATAAATATTTGAGTTAATTAATCTTGAATTGTTTTAGGATTTAGTTAAGGAACAAGCCAAAAAAATACCATAATTAATAATTATAATATTAAGATTGTAATTAATGCTGATATGCTGATATGCTGATATCCTTGCGTTATTTTTTTTGATCTACATTAGTCTTTTTGAAGCTGAAATGTTACTGATATCGCTAGTATTATCCTTTTCTATCTACATTTGTATTTGATTACAAAATTATTTTCCATTGAACATTAGAAAGATATCAGAAAGACTATCATCAAAGCAAGTATTCGTCTACTTTATAAAAATAAAAGTTATTTAATCAAATATCAACCATATTACACATTTATAATATGTAATTTTAATACCAATCCCACACATGATCATTAATCACAATGATTGTAAGTTTTGGTTTCATATCAGAATCAAACTCAATACATAAATGACAATCTTCTACTCTATCTTTAAAATAAAAATAATTCTCTTCTAAGTTGTGATTAAAGTGATTACTAACTTCCTTAAAGTAATTATAAGCACGTTCTTCATCTTTATTGACACCTAACCCTATTGAAAGGCTTGTTGCCATCCAAAATTTGGCATCAAAATTATATTCTGTTTTACTTTCACTAATTTTGCTAAAATATTCCATTTTTCAATAAATTTTCTTTCACTATGAAAAGAATTTGCCTTTTTAAGCAAATATAAATCTTTAAACTTTTTATCAATTTTGTTAGTTTTTTTGTAATAACCTTCAAAAATATAAATTGTCATTCAAAATTTGGCAGTAAATTTAGCTTTATTTTCTGATTTGCTTGAATAATAATTTGATCTGTATTTACAAGTATCAATTTCTGAAAAAATAGTCCAGGCTTCCTCATATTTTTTTTTATCATAGAGTTTTTCTGTATTTATAAGTCGTAGTATATTGATATTTTCCTCCTTATTGCATATTTTGTAAGCACGTTTTATGTCTATTTTGGCATGAAGTCCATTTATAAGATATTTTGCCATATAGGTTGTTAGGAGATTCTTCTCTCCTGTTGGTTTATACTCACCATATCCTTTATTATAAAGGTCTTCAAAAATATCCCATGCTTTATGATATTCTTTTTTACTATCATAAAGATCAGCCAATGCGAGTTTTGTTTTAAAATAATGATTATTCATAACCATCCTCAACTAACAGTATAGTCTTTTTTAAATAAATTTTTGTGGTATTATTTAAAAATATAGCTAAAAAAAA